CTGGCTAACATGGTGAAACCCCGTCTCTACTAAAAATACAAAAAATTTGCCAGGCATGATGGTGGGCACCTGTAGTCCCAGCTACTCGGGAGGCTGAGGCAGGAGAATGGCGTGAACCCCCGAGGCTGAGCTTGCAATGAGCCGAGATCGTGCCACTGCACTCCAGCCTGGGCGACAGAGCAAGACTCCGTCTCAAAACAAAAAAAAAGGCTTCCCAGTTAGAGGTATCTGGCTTCTTTTTCCAGGCTCTGTGATTACCTTAGGAGCCAGGACAACTAACTGGTTATGTGTCAGTTAGGTTGCCAATTAGCCTGGGCACTCAGTTATTTACACATATAAATTGTCATTTCATCAATGCACAAATGACTCAAATAGCAAATCCTCAAATGCGGTCTAAATGGAATTAGGTCGTACTTTTAAAAGTGTTGGGCAAACAGCCTTTCACTATGGAAGAATAACCATAAGAGAGCAGCATTGCTAGAACACATAGAGAGATGGGAGAGCCAAAGAGAAATTGTTACGGACTTCGGGACCATGTCTCTTCAAAGGACACCAGGTAGAGAACTGTTGTTAGCATTATGTAGTGACCGTTACCTTTTCATAATGTGAGAGATGACCAGAGACCCAAACAAAAGGCAGGAAAACAAGATGGCCCCATAAAAGAAGGAAGGACAGGCAAACTAAAGAGCTGAACAAGGCCTGTGGTTGTGCATGTCTTTGGGCTGTGAGACAGGGGATCTTTCCACCTGCCTAGTTTCACTTCCCTGGTTTAGGGAAAATGGGAGTGGGTGAGGTAGAGGAAAGAAAGGTAGAAGAAATGGAAAAGAAGATAATCAGAGCTGGTAATTTTTTGTGATGGTTAACTTTTTGAAGCAGAGAATAACAACCATATTCTCCTGACAAGTACAGAATCAGAGTGAAAACTGAGCTCAAAGAATATTAGTTGGTCCTGAGTGATATATTTACTCTACTTTGTTCTACACTTGGCTTACCACAAGGTGTATGTCCACCTTTCCTCTCTTTCTAGGTGCAGAGGTAAATGCTTCTCCTCTTTGGAATCTGGCCCATGTGAAAATGGAGCCTCAAGAGAGTGAAGAAGGCAATGTCTCTGGGCATGGTGTGCTGGGCAGCGATGTCTTCGAGGAGCCCATGTCAGGCATGAGTGAAGCTGGGATTCCTCAGAGCCCTGATGACTCAGATAGCAGCTATGGTTCCCACTCCACTGACAGCCTCATGGGGTCCTCCCCTGTTTTCAACCAGCGCTGCAAGAAGAGGATGAGGAAAATATAAAAGGAAAAGAGGGAGATTTTTTGTCCAGACCTACTAGACCCAACAGAGAAAGTTTTTGTATTAGAATCTGTTTCCATAAAAATTGATTTGATTCCTGTTCTTAAACACAAGTGGTTTTTCCTTATTCCAGAGGACCTGGACATCACCAAACAAGGTTGCATTTTACTTTTGCATCCAGTTTTTATAGTTTTCCACAACCAAGCCACCTTTCACAGACGAAATATGATGCTGGCATGGCAATCAAAGCAAAGCACCGTCCTCGACTGTTGTCTTAACTATGACTAGACATGTTACTTAGCTTCTCTACAGCCATTTCTCTTGTACAACTGAGAATCATACTTCTTTGACCTACCTTGCAGAGATGTGAGGATTTAGGTGTTTGCTAACTTCAAAACTGTGCTTGAATAGACTCATAATATATGCTCATATCAGATGTCAGTTTTCATTTAACTTGATTCATTTTTGGCTCAGGTCGTTGGGAATCCATTACTAATACCTAACAGGAAATAGCGAAACACAACATACCTTATCTGTTAGTCACCTTCTTAAAACTGTTTTTGCTGCTTTTGAAGTGTCTTATTTATAAGATCAGAGGTCTACAGTGACAGCCTTTTTGCTTATTCAGACAGCTCTCTCCTATCATCCACATATTCTTCTCTAGATTTATTCCATCTATCCTCATCCTTTTGGCCTTTGTTATTTCTGCTCAGACTCACATATTTTCACCATATACATATTTTCAGTTGTTTCTTTCATTTTCTCCTTTGTGAGCAAAGCAAACAAGTACTGTCCAAGGACAACCTTGTGCATATTTCATTTGTTGCATTTGCTTGGTCATCAGAGGACAGCAGTCCATTAAGCACACTTTGCTTCTGCTACTGTAAAGGCAGCCTTTAAAGCATAGTAATATGCACCTTTCAACTTTATATCATTGTCCTGAACAACGTAACTATGGTTACTCATCCATCAGACTATCTGTACATTTAAGTACCGAATCAGTATTTATTAAGTAAATGTTGTAGCACTGTAGTGATTAGGAATAATTAGCAAATGTGTTGCTTCATGCCTTGGTAATGGATGCCAACATGTAAAACTGCTGAAGTTTGGTTTTCTGATGCAGAATACATCTTGTAAAATTTAGACCACTCCTTTAATATAGACCAAAATAAGGCACAGCTTTAATTCATTATTGAATGCCTTAAATGTCCCAGGTATTATTTAGAATGAATATGATACAACTAAAATGAGGTTATAGTTTAACATATAATTTATACATTTGCCAGTTGTAACTCTTTAGCACATTTATCAAAACCCTTTCTGTCACAGTCTTTTTTAAAAATTATTTATTTATTTATTTTTGAGATGGAGTCTTGCTCTATCACCCAGGCTGGAGAGCAATGGTGCAGTCTTGGCTCACTGCAGCCTCTGCCTTCCGGGTTCAAGCTACTCTCCTGCCTCAGCCTCCTGAGTAGCTGGGATTACACACACGTGCCATCACACCCAGCTAATTTTTGTATTTTTAGTAGAAATGGGGTTCCACCATGTTGGCCAGGCTGGTCTCAAACTCCTGACCTCAAGTGATCTGCCCGCCTCAGGCTCCCAGAGTGCTAGGATTCCAGGCGTGAGCCACTGCGCCTGGCCTCTGTTGCAGTCTTACCTTCATTTTCCTTTGTTTATAATGAAAGTGGCCATTAGGCAGTTTCCATAAAGTAGCCAACTGGGAATTTATTTCATCTAGCAAACATTGAGTACCAATTATTTGCTAGGTCCTGTGCAAGGGATACAAAGATGATTAACACTCCTTACCCTTTTGGAGCTTAAAGCATAAGGAAGACAAGTTATTCTGTAAGGAAGATAAAGCATTCAAAAGTACTACAGAGAAAAACCAAGTATGCCTAAGTTTTGCTTTGCGAATGTTCTCCTCTTAAAGAATAGTTTCAAATTTTGAGACCAGTGGTTCCCCCTAAGTATAGAGCATTGAAATTAATACTTTATAATAAAACACTTATTGTTGCAGAATGTTAAAACTGCAGAACAGGCACCAGATATTCAAGACAAGGGTGATGTGAGGATTAGTATCTGAGATTCATCTGGTCTGGAATTGTCATAGGCTACTATGCATCAGAATCACATGGAGGGCTTTCTAAAACAGACTGCTCAGCCCCACCCCCAGGGTTTCTGAGTTCATAGGTTTTAAGAGGTGAGTTGAACAATTCCCCAGGTGATACTGATGTTCCTGGTCCACACTGTGAGAACCACTAAGTTTGAGTACTGACTCACAAAGAGAAAATTCCTTAAAAGAAATGTACTGTTTTAAGATACTGGAAAATGTGGAGGCAGGGCAAACCTTTATAAGGGCTGTTATGTATGAAATGTGCCTCTGACCCAAATCCACGGCCTTTGTGTAAATCACCAAGGAGACTTTGCATTAAGTTCAGAGTACAATACAAACTGGGCGTAGCTCTGTATTTACTCAGTATGCGCACGTGGGAAACTTTAGTAAAATATCACCTCCTTATTGAGACAAGTTTGGACATGTGGCCTTAAGCCTCTGTTGAACAGGAGAAGTGAAGCTATTTGCAGTTATATAATTTTCTAATTTGAAATCATGACAAGCAGTCTTACAACAAATTTAAAATTAAAAACTCTTTATCCAAGTCACCAATGAAACAGGATTCTGATTCATTAATCATGTCTTGCCCATTTTCTTCAACAAACCTGATGTCCTATAGAGTGAGCTTATACAGTGTGAGGCATATTTCGTAGCAACGTTGGTTGATTGCCAAGGAGACTCTGCTGCTGTTCTGGATAAGCTCATGTTTTTTCCCTTTTCCCTAGCTGCTAATAGAAGGGCAACTCACGGTGCAGGGTCAAGGGCAAGAAGCTGGGGGAGTAAAGGCTACACATCTAGCCTAATAATAGAGATCTGAGGTGGTCATGAGGAGACTATGTTCTTTTGATTCCATTCCTCAGCAGCAAAAGTACTTGAGTTCAGATGATAAACTTGAAGTTGTAGGCTTGGAAGAGTATCAGCTCAGAATGTCCTTCCTTGCATAAATACAAGGGAAAGGCCAAGGGATAATCAGTGTTAACCTGCCAGGTCCAAGGATCTTTTATCCCTGACTTCATCTGAGTCACAAGATTTCTCTAATAAGAGAAACTCTGCTACTCTGAGGAAAATTGTCCCTTATGGGAGCCCCCAGTCAGAGGTAAGGATAGTTCTTTCACGTGGAGGTCCAAAATTCTGGACTTCTAGAAACAAGTGAAGTGTCCTAAAGTCTCCTATTTATTGTTTCTCTTCCAGTATTGTGCCATCGATTCTTGCATAAAATTCTGGAATGCTGGCTCTTCATGGCTTTCCTCTGTAACTGCAAGGAAAAAGGGCAATTCTTTTTCAACTCTTTCATTAGATAAACTGATTAGAGCCCCTGTCACCCATCCATCAGAAAACAGTACGTTACTTCTAAGAAACTAAGTACTCACTTCCCTCAAAAAGGAAATGTCTCCTAGAAGCATGCTCTATCATGCTGCCCAAAATGTAGTTTCTTTATAAGTAGAAAGAATACCTCCCTCATAGTAACTAAAATAAGGTCCCACTTGTAGGTATTTTTAACCAAGAGAAATGAAGACATATGTCTACACAAAGATCTATTTGGAAATGTTTATAGTTGCTTTACTCATAATAGCTAAAATCTACCCAAACATCAATCCACTGGGGAATGGATAAACTGTGGTACATCCACAATAATGGAGTATCACTCAGCAAAAAAAAAGAATATACTACTGATACATGCAACAACACGGAGAGACTACACTGCTGAGTCAAAAAAGGCAAATGCAAAAGGCTAAATACTGTGATTCTATTTCTATGGCATTCTGGAAAAGGAAAGATCAAAGGAACAGAAATCAGTCAGTGGTTGCCAGGCACTAGGTGTTCAGGATGGGGACTGAAAAAAAGGGGGCATGAGGAAGTTCTGGGGGGCGAGGGAAATGTTCTACATTCCAATTGTGATGGTGGTTACAAGAAAGTATATATTTGTTAAAGCTCATCAAACTATAGACTCAAAAAGGTGAGTTCTACTGTTGGTAAATTACATCTTAACAAACCTGATTAAATGAGGCAATTTACATGTAAAACCCAGCCAAAGAATAACGAGGTTTGCTCTTGGCCATAGCTAAGACCTAAATCCTATGGTTGGTTTTTTTTTTTCTTTTTTTTTTTTTTGAGACGGAGTCTTGCTCTGTCACCCAGGCTGGAGTGCAGTGGCACAATCTCGGCTCACTGCAAGCTCCGCCTCCCAGGTTCATGCCATTCTCCTGCCTCAGCCTCCTAAGCAGCTAGGACTACAGGCGCCCGCCACCACGCCCGGCTAATTTTTTTGTATTTTTAGTAGAGACGGGGTTTCACTGTGTTAGCCAGGATGGTCTCGATCTCCTGACCTCGTGATCCACCCACCTCGGCCTCCCAAAGTGCTGGGATTACAGGCGTGAGCCACCGCGCCCGGCCTTTTTTTTTTTGAGACCAAGTTTCGCTCTTGTTACCCAGGCTTGAGTGCAATGATGAGCTCTCAGCTCACTGCAGCCTACGCCTCCAGGTTCAAGTAATCCTCCTGCCTCAGCCTCCCAAGTAGCTGGGATTACAGGTGCCCACCACCAAGCCCAGCTAATTTTTTGTACTTTTAGTAGAGATGGGGTTTCGCCATGTTGGCCAAGCTGGTCTCAAACTCCTGGCCTCAGGTGATCTGCCCACCTCGGGCTCCCAGAGTGCTGGGATTATAGGCGTGAACCACCGCGCCCAGCCTATGGTTGTTTCAAGAATCAGATTCTGGCAGGGCGCGGTGGCTCACGCCTGTAATCTCAGCACTTTGGGAGGCCGAGGTGGGCGGATCGCTTCAGGCCAGGAGTTCAAGACCAGCCTGGCCAACATGGCGAAACCCCATCTCTACTAAAAATATAAAAAATTAACCAGCTATGATGGCGGGTGCCTGTGGTCCCAGCTACTCGGGAGGCTGAAGTGGGAGAATTGCTTGAACCTGGGAGGCAGAAGTGGGAGAATCGCTTGAACCCAAGAGGCAGAGGTTGCAGTCAGCCGAGATCGTGTCACTGCACTCCAGCCTAGGCAACAAAGTAAGACCCTGTCTCAAAAAATAATAGTAACATTAGATTCTGCTCACAGGTCATAAAACTATGCCAAGTGGAATTTGGGTTTCCAGAGCCAATCTATCCTTATGGTTTTAGTCCATACCACCTTATGTATTCTTTTTGTTTTTGAGACGGTCTTGCTCTGTCGCCCAGCCTAGAGTGCTGTGGCACAATCATAGCTCACGATAGCCTCAAACTTCTGGGCTCAAGCAACCCACCCACCTCAGCCTCCCAAGCAGCTTGGACTACAGGTGTGAGTAACCACGCCCAGCTATTTTTTTCTTTTTTGTGGAGACTGAGACTCACTATGTTGCCCAGGCTTGTCCAGAACTCCTGGTCTCAAGCAATCCTCCTGTCTTGGCCTCCCAAAGCGGTGGGATTACAGGCATGAGCCACCACACCCAGCCCTTACATATTCTTAAAACAAAATACGAATAACAACAAACAAAAGTCCTGGATCCCTCAAATCAAGTTAGGACCTAAAGATAAGACGACATAAGACCAACAAAAGGCCTGTAATCAGCTCAGTATTAACCAGCCAGTAAGCAGGACAGGAACTCTCAATATAGGAAACTCTTTTCTGGTGCTGTATCCTTTACCATCTCCTCTCCCCCACTATTACTGGCTACATGCTTAACAATAATGGGCAAACAATGTGAGGATAAGCAGATGCTCTGTTGCCATGGGCCACCTCAGCCACCTCTCACCTCTGTGGTCAATGTCATCAGTATCGCTGTCTGCTTCCTCATCCTCTTCATCCAGGGTTCCTCGAGTCAGGATCAAATCAGAAGGGTGCAGCACAGGAGATACGCTGTCTACAGTGAAAACACCTATCAGTGCATATGCCTCCTTAAAAAGGTGATTTTGAATCACTGAGTAACTATGATCATAAACTGGCAGGATGAAAGTGCTCATGATACATATAAATGCAGGATCTTACCTCTTCTAAATGTATTGTTAATAGCACTTAACATTTCTATAATAGCTTAGTTCACAAAGTGCTTTCATAAGGCAAATAGCCCTAGGAGTACCATATAAGCTGAGGGAAATAATTTTCAAGAAACTTGTCTTAGTAGTAGCATCATTCTTTCTTACTGGCTCATAGCTTGGAAGGGGTGATGGTTTTTCCTATGAAAGCTAACAACATTTGAGCAGATCCAGTGTGCTGGTGAGTCACAGTGAAAGTGTGGAGTGCTAAGGAAGCCTCCTGGTGGAAATGTAAGTTCAGAGAAGGTCTGCAGAAAATACAGGGTGAAATGATATTGAGGAGCCAGGGTATTATTTAAGAGGAGGAGGGAGGGGAAAAATAGAAAATCAAATACACTAATAGAAGTAAAATTCCTTATTCAGAAAAACTAGTACGGGCTGAGCTCCAGTAATCAGAAAGGAGTCTAATCAAGTCACTACTGCCATGGCAGGACATGGCCACTCTCTCTTACAGGAGCCTATGAGGCTTGCGAGAGCTCAGCTAGAGAATAAGGGTGGCCAGAGACAGCAATATCAACTGGCACAAATCTCAAGGGGCCTGTGGGCCTCAAAAAGGAGGAGGACAGGACATGCTGACAGTAAATGCTTCATTCTGTGCCCAACTAACAATTAGGCAACTATACTTGTGACTTTCCTGAAATGATTGACTTAAAACTCTCTCAACCTTCAACAGGTTAGCTGATTACAGCAGACCCTTTGCAGCAGTAGTTTTAACATTCACTTCACATATTCAGAAGTGATTCTAAAGGACTGTGGCACATAGGAATGTATTTTGCTGAGCTATGCAACAGGATGGCACAAGTGAGTTCACTTAACTGGTAAACCCAGTCCGTTACTAGCTTTGCTGTTCTCTACTGAACACAGAGCAGTAACTTTCATGAACAGAAACATCACTCCTTTAAGAAAGATGTCCCAGAAAAAAAAAAAAAAAAAAATGCTAGTGTTGCTAATGAGAAGAAAAAATAAATGTACAATTTATTACAATAAATAAATAAATGGAGCTTTTAAGTACAGTCAATTTGGTTGCAGGATCCCACTAAGCTGCAACAGACTTGCACCTGAATCTTGAGGGCAGTCCCTCAATATACAGGGGTGGGGATGGAAGGTGGGCTGTAAATGAAAACTAACCTAAAAACCCCTGGAGAGCCAATGATAAAACTAACTAAAAAATTTTTAAAAATTCAGTAAAGTAGCAGAATAAAAGATGAATATACAGAAATCAAAAGCCTTCATACATACAAACATAAACCAGTTATAAGATACAATGGTTCAGAAAATCCCATTTTCAACAGTAATGAAGAAGGTTAAATACTTAGAATAAATTTCAAGCTGGGGCCAGGCATGGTGGCTCATGCCTGTAATCCCAACACTTTGGGAGGCTGAAATGGGCAGATCACCTAAGGTCAGGAGTTCAAGACCAGCCTGGCCAACATGGCGAAACCTTGTCTCTACTAAAAACGCAAAAATTAGCTGGATGTGGTGGCACGTGCCTATAGTCCCAGCTACAAAGGAGGCTGAGGCACAACAATTGCTTGAACCCAGGAGGCAGAGGTTGCAGTGAGCCAAGATTGCGCCATTGCACTCCAGCCTGGGTGACAGAGCAAGACTCCGCCTCAAAAATACATACATACATACATACATACATTTCAAGCTGGGTGTAGTGGTTCACACCTGTAATCCCAGCACTCTGGGTGGCTGAGGCGGGCAGATCTCTTGAGCCCAGGAGTTCGAGACCAGCCTGGGCAACATGGCAAAACCTTATCTCCACTAAAAATACAAAATTTAGCCAGGCATGGTGGCAGGCGCCTCTAGTTCCAGCTACTTGGGAGACTGAGGCAGGAGAACAGCTTGAACCCAGGAGGCAGAGGCTGCAGAGAGCCAAGATCACACCACTGCACTCCAGTCGGGGTGACAGAGCAAGACCCTGTCTCAAAATAAATACATAAACATGATTTGTTTTTAAAAAAAATTAAAAAGAAACAGGCAAAAACTCTTGTTCAAAAAGGTTGGCTAAAATAACAAAAATATTTTGAGAAGAAATAAGAAAAATCTACATGTGGAAAACTATAAACACTCCTGACAGACACAAGTAGACCTGACAAATACAAAGACACTCTGTGGTCTTGGGTAGCAAGACTGAACATCATAGAGATGTCACTTCTCCCTAAATTAATTATGAATATAATGTAATCCCAACAAAAATAGCAAAAAGCTTTTTTAGGGAACTAGATAAAGCTGATACTCAGTTCATGTGAAAGAACATGTAAGGACAGCCAAATAAAAATTAGGAGGAGAATCTGATCTAGCAGATATTGGAACATAATTACATAATTAAAAGAACACGGTGCAGGCATAAAAGTAAATAATCCTTGCTCATCAAAGCAAGTTAAAAGAAAAAAAAGTTGGCTGGGGATGGTGGCTCACGCCTATGATCCCAACACTTTGGGAGGCCAAGGCAGGAGGACTGCTTGAGGCCAAGAGTTCAAGACCAGCCTGGGTAACATTGTGAGACCTTGTCTTTATTAAAAATTTCCTTAAAACTAGCCAGACGTGGTGGCACACACCTGTAGATCTAGCTACTCTGGAGGCTGAGGCAGGAGGAATGCTTGAGCCCAGGAGTTCAAGGCTGCAGGGAGCTACGATTGCACCACTACACTCCAGCCTGGGTGACAGAGTGAGAAACTACCTCAAAAATAAATAAATAAATAAATAAATAAATAAATAAATAAAAAGGAAACGGTCCAGTGAAATAATATAGGCTAGTTGGCAGGCTGACATGGAAAAATCGCTTGAGCCCAGGAGTTCCAGACCAGCCTCAGACCTCATCTCTTT